TATATATATATATATATACATACAGAGCGTGCGTTTGCGGAATATAATAGAATATAATTAACGAGCGCGCGAGTAATATTCATTAATACGAAATTAACAGACGCTCTAAGAAAACAAGATATAAGCGCAATGTTATAATTATCTCATCATTATATGCAAAATAGTTTTTAGCGCCGCATAACAGTCGACAAATATTATTTCCCACGATTGTGATTGGCAGTCTGCAAGCAGTTACACGAGTAGTCAGGAACATAAAAATAGTGTCCGAACAATCGTCGAATGCATCGAGCGCATTCAGGCGTTGGAATTTAGTCGTAACACGCGACTTACATCAATTACACGAAGGAGAGGGAGAACGAGAAAAAGACTTATGCCGTCTAACTCTTCGCCACACGAATTGAAATTCCTTCAAAGCCTCTCGAATACGATGCTTCGCAAATCGTTCATGCCTGCGTTCTACCGCGCCTCGTATCGACGCTTCGCTCGTCTGACACGAACGTGCCGGGCAAGCTACATGCTCTGTCGCTTGATTCTCGCTTTGATTCTCTCGTCCCGATCTACGTTTTTCTTCGCGACTACCATAGAATACCCGGTAGAACGGGGTAATTCGGAAGCGGGACGCGCGACGCCGTTATCGGCGACGAATCGGCCGAGTTCTCTCACGAAGCGCGTACGTGCTCGCGTCTTCGGGAGTCCGTTTGGGGTTCGTTTCACGAATCGGAATTCACGATTTTCGGTGTGAACAGGAACTCTTCGAGGGCCATCGAACACGATGGAATGTCGTGTGCTACGGGGATTCAGATTTAAGCTACGATCTATGACTATATCATATATAAAACCCGTGAAAAAAAATAGAAAGAAATGAGAGAGGAAGACAGGTAGCAGTGAGTATATACGTCGGAGGAATACGAAAATCGATCGTCTGTGTTTCCTGTATGCGAGTAATAAGACCAGATATTCTCACACGGGTCCCAAGTTGGGCCCGCCCTCCCGCCCGTCGTGGGAAACTTATACGTGAGTCGAACGATGCTTAAGCATCCGTCCCGCGAAACCAGCTTTTAAGAACGAAGCCTTGAAGCTTTTGCGATGCAGGTGCGATTCGATTAGCAGTCTATATTTCGATGCGCTGACATTTTTCAATGCCGCAGCTGGGACACGCCGTGCGCGCATTTGTCACGTGTTGGACACGATGCAAGGGATGTCTCCCGCCATATTTTAATTGGACCGATCGCTTATTTTAATCCTTTTCGCACGTCATCGTGTCTTCGTATCTCGTTTTAAGAAGGTACCATCCATATGTCGCCGATCGTGTCATTGTGACACAGCCAGAGGCATTGGCAGATAGATAGGTGCTCTTAATTATGAAATTAGCACGATACATCCCGTTTCCACAGCATTCTATTCATCTAAATCTTTCTTCGAGGAAGCATCTATTCTGTTATATGTTTGCACAGTATTTAATAATGTTTAATTGAACTGCTTTAATTCTTTGATTTCTCATCGCTGGCTTTACTATTGAGTGTTAGTGCTATCATAACAGAATGACAGGTAGTCGGTTTTTAAATCTAACTTAAGGAAATACATAATATATTGTCAACGTTTGTTGTGAACTTATAAAATAATATTAACAGTCGAAATTTTAACAGTAAAAATTTTAGATAACATTAATTAAAAATAAATAAGGAGAACTACATTAGCAATGAGAGTCAAGCGCAGTAATTGGAACGCAACAAAATTATCAAGTGATTTAGTAATCAGTAAATAACATTAATTAACATTTCTTTTTTAAATCAAAAATTCGAAGAGATTATATATTCCTGGAGCGGTAAATTTTTTTAAGACATTCTAATTTTTACTATGATTTGTATAATTGTGTACATATTTCGAAATCTCTTTCAAATAAAAAATTCAAAATTACATTTTTTGGACTAGTCTTTCTGAGAAAGCTCTGATTTTATTAATGACGGCACGTGCGATATATACGACAATTATTGTCATCGTGCATGACGGATTACAGTCGATCGTCGGGATTCACATGCACATGTATAACATGACTGCGCAGCGGAAGGAAGGATACCAGGAAGGGCGTCCTGTATCAGAGGTGAATCTGAGCTCCGATCGGGGCAGTGAAGGTGCAGGTGTCTCTAGAAACCGGCGACGAACAAACGGTAGAGACGGGGACACGGGAGGGGCATAAAAGAAGCAGAGGCCGAGGTCCTGCACGCGCCTCTGACGCGCCGATGCCACCGATATCTTCTTCTTAAACTTTCCTATCCGCTCATTCATGCCCAACTAAATGCCTATAATTTCGTATATGATTACAGGGCACCGTAACCAACGCCCCGTGGACTCATGCTGTCCCGCCGAGAAAGAGAGGGAGAGAGAAAGACAAGGAAAGAGCTTGTTTGGAAGGGGACTTGACGAAATTGAAACGAAACGAGCCGGAGTCCTTCAGTTTGTTGATCGTTTTAAGGACGATTCTTTTCCTGCGTCTCGTCCCTCCGCATAGGTAACATATATATAATAACATATAAATATCACCCCCCTCCCTTTCCCATCGCTTCTCTAGCACCGGACCAATCGATGACAGGTGGTCCACATAATTATTACTAATTTGCTGTAGGTTTAAACAAACAGAGAAATCGCTACGGACTATCCAGGTGCCTTCTACTTCGATGCAGCTTACTGGAATGTTGCCGAGCTCGCGGTTCGATCGCTTCGGTTTCTCGTGAGAGCCTCAATTCGGTCTTTTAATTGCAACCCTATATACGGGGTGTCCGGAATACAGTTTGCGATTTTTAAGAATATATATATCTTACATTTGTCTAACGAGATAAAGAAATACTAAACGCGTTTATTATACAAGAGTAAACGTATTGTAAACTACTCAGCTCTGAAACTTCATTCTTAAATATTATATATATTATCTTTTATTCTTTCGAAAGGTAAAACGTTGACGGAAGAAATATGAGTTTATAGCAAAGTGTCCATGTCATTAAATTATTCAACCACGATCGCAGCAGGATCGCCATGATGATCGCCGGAAGATTGAAGGATAAAGATCCTTCATTGAAGTAAATCAAAATGGCGCTCGATAATAATGATATATTATAATTAGAGTGCTGAAGAAGTTACGGAAGCTATGGGGACGATAGCCAAGAGCGGCGTAATTAAATATACGTTCCTTGATCCTCGTGTGACGTACGTGCCGCAATCGTTTTCACGGAATGAAATCGGCGCGTCCAGCCATATCATTATAATAATGATTTCCACACCGGAATCCCCCACGATGTATATAGCCGTGCGTTTTATTAAAAAGAGCTATCTGACGCAAATATGCGTAGCCCTCCGGGCGTACTAGATAAATAGGTTCTTCAGGGTGTTTATGCCAATAAAACAAGTCTACATAAAATGATAGACCTCTACCTACAAATATTGAAATTGTCGAAGTGTGTTTAAGTAAAAGAGGATACGATTACATGTAGCCTACTCACACAATTCTGACTTAGCCTAGTTTTTCTTCGCTTTAATTCGACGTAAGTTCCTCATATTACAAATCGTATTGCTAACTTTTAGAGGATGGAGATCTATTTTTAAAATCTTGTAGAGCTTTTTCTTGAGAATAAGACTTATTTAAGAAAGAAAGTTGTATTCGTAAAATTTTTAAATAATTTATAATTCATTATTTGGTTGTATATCTTTGTTTCAAAATACGACACCGTTTCAGTGCTACTATAGTGGCTTTCCCGTTTTGTAAAGATTATATGAAAAATTTAAAAAAAAACATTTCCTCACATGCAGTAACGAAAAAACAGACTGATTTGCAAATAATGCTATTCTGTTCACATCGCGATGATTGAAGAATTATCTGATGATTTTTTTCTAATAACGCAACTATCTCATGTCTGATACGTGATATTATACCTTGTATTTACTGTATGCTCTTCCCGCGCTTTTCGTTCTTGCTTGTCAATTCATTCGACGGACTTGAGTCTTTTAAATTCGAATTTTATATGTTGTAGAGCACATTAAAGCGCAATTTATTACAGAAGATGAAAGAAGAGAGCTCTTACCTCTTGATGATGTATTAAGAAGTCGGAGGCAGGTAGTGGCGGGGGTGGTTCCGCGGCGGAGACCTCTTGGAGTAGTCCCACGTGATCCCAACAGTCTTCGGACATGTCCATGGTCGAGTCTTCCTCCCTTCGCTTTCTGAACGGGTCCTCCCCCGTGGAGAACGGGGTGAGTCGAACTTCCTGTCCCCCTGCTTTTATGACACGTCTTCTTAATTTCTCTGATACACAATCGTGTACGCGCGAAGTATATAATTGAGAGGGAGATACTATTAGGCACAGCCACTTTCAAAAAAATCCAGTCACGAATCCCAGTCACAACAATATCGGCGTGACACCGGGTGGCCGGTGCACCACCGCCAAGAAGAGAAGAAGAGATCCACGTACGTCAGTACTACGTAGCACACCGATTCGTCGATGACGGAATTGATGTCGCGTGACCGCGTTCTCTGATGAACGACAACGAGGCGGCGGCGACGACGACGGCGGCGTCGAGGACACGACGACGGCCGTCGGTAGTGGTCAGTCGGCGTGGAATGAAGTTCGCCCGCGGGTTAGGTTGGGTTAGCCAGCGAGCGGGAGTTGTGCAGCATCAGAGCGCGCGCGGCGAGAGAGACGAGAGAGGGTCGTCGCCGATGAGAAAGAGGGGGGAGAGGAGAATAGAGGGAGTAGGAGATAGAGAAAGAGAGAGAGAGAACGCGAATGAATGAGAGGGTGAGAACGACAGCGGGTGGGGTGTGAGGGAGAGAGAGAGAGAGAGAGAGAGAATGAGGAGAAGAGAGAGAGGTGTAAGGCGTAAGTCTGCCCTAGTCGCTCGCTTAACCGTGCAGGAGGTGGCGCCAATATAAACCGTACCCCTCCTCCGAGGTCCCCCCCCTCCTCCCCCGACAAAGAGCTTGCGTATAATACCTGTATGCGTCTGTTGGTAGACCATCCCGCCTACCAACTACCGTACTGCGGGATTTGTGATCCGTGCCGCCAGTAATTATTGCGATTTCACTTATATCCTGACCCGCTTAACCCCGCGTTCCTTCCTCTGAGCCCGTGCTCGCCGAGCTGATCGCGGGAATTCGAGATGCCGAAGTACTGAGATTGAGGAGGATATTGGAATCGCAGCAAAGCTTATCTTCTTTGATAGCGCCCCTTGTGATATGAGAATGTACATGATTTATAGAGAATGTAGATAAAATATAATATAAACACCTGAAAAATATGCTCTACTTGTTTTATTTAATTGTAATTAGGAATTAATCTACTATTTATCTTTGATATAGATCTATCCTTATAGGAATAGAATCATACATGCTTAAATAGTATAGCAAATCCTACAGTGCAATATTATATCATTCTTCTAGCAGAACATCTAATTACTCAAAAGATATTGGAAGGAAATCTATTTCTCATTCTGCTCTTTAAAATTACAGTTGCGTTTGCCAGGAAAGAGGTTGAAGTTTCGGAAAACAGAGGGCAATTTTGAAAAGTAGAGAAGAAAATTTCCTATTCCAATATCATTTATATATAAGCAATTGAAAGATGTTTTACTAAAAGAATAGTATACATATAAGAATAGTAACATAATAAGAATAGTATACATCTCTTCATAATTACTTATTCAAGCATTATGTGATTATTCTAACAAGGATAGAATGTGTATTAAAAACAAATGTTGGTCCAATTTCTCATTAATAAAATAAGTAAAATAAATAATTTCCTATTCATATTGTATTTTATATGTAATTTATCTTCTCTATTTATTTCATAATTATATAGAGAGAATGATTTTGCCAAAAATTTAGATAGACATATCTGAAAATAATTTTATTGGATCATCAAAAAAAATGTAGAAAACGCAAACATGATGAGCAAAGTTGCAAACAGTTTTAACATTCTAAAAAAACTTAAGTATCCTATAATTATTTTGAAAAAAATTATTACTTTTTGTGTATAGATATTGTTGAGGAAACTTTTGTCATTTTGTAATGCTGATTATATTAATTGGATGGATTGGCTATTAATTGGAACAATTTGCGGAGGTCGGTGAAATTTAGGCACCCCGCGTGCGATAAGGAGAAAGAAATGTCGCACCAATAAAAAAAGTATATCCCTCCATGAAGTATATAGTGACCAGTACGTTGCTCCCTCGTATCTGCCCCGATCGCGAATATTTTACATGAGTTTACAGGGGTGTCTCAACGCGAGTAACGGAAAAAAAGTGTATCGAGGAATTACGGGGAGGATGAACGAAAACGTACAGGATGTGAGTGCGATGTAATCGAACGAACGAAGGGTAGAAATGCGATATGAACGCGTTAATGCGTCGTTACTGACAGCGACACGATTCGTTCGATGGTACTTTGAATCCCTCCCTTGCACGTTCGAGCCTTTTCCATCGATTTACCTCGACGATTGTTCAGCTACTCTTTTTTTCTTTTTTTTTTTTTACTTCTCGCATTTTAATTCTCTCGTTACTTCGGCGCTGACTGACGCACGCTTAAAACGTTACTAATACTCGACATTTGTCAGTCGTTATCATTGCGTGGCGCAGTTCCATGCAACTCGCAGCTCGCCTGCGTCGGGACCGATGATTGATGGAGTCGTATATAAACGTTTGTAATTTAGCAATCGGTCGAACGCTCTCGTATCGATACTTTACTTGGTGATTAAATCTTAAATGACTACTGCGCAGCAATTATTGGATATATCATCGGATTACCGTGGAACGAAACTCTACTTGAAATAACATCGTCGTATCGTCAAAATTTGTTTTCAATAAACGTCAGTCAATAAATGTCATCGTGGAATCGTGTTGAAAATTAATTCTAATGATCAGAGTATCTCTGCTCGTACGTGAAGAGATTTTTTAAAACGATCAATAGTAACAAAAATCGCGAAAATTATCACGACGATTTTTATGTAAAATTTATAGCGAATTCAGTTGGATACACTAATATGCACTGATGCAGATGAAAGCTATTGTGCACAAATTGATATAAAAATGTGTATTTAATATAAATATTGAAATGAATTAAAACCGTAAAATCTTCTATACTTTATTATTATTGCTGTCTGATAAAAATATTAAACAAAAATCGAGAAATGTTTAACGCAAATAAATGAAAGCTATTTGATCAAATTAAGCCTTTGTGTCTTGATGCCTAATAAATTTGAACTGGATATTATAAAAATTTATGTAAAAATTTTAGACACCAAAATCTATTTTGGTCAAATATACCTTCTTCACTTATTTGTGCTGATAAAAATTATAATTTAAAATTACATTTCATTTATAGCTCGAATATAGATCAAGCTACAACGGTTTTAATGTCCAAATGAATTCGCTATCAGATTATTTTACAGCACGGGAGG